AGCATGATAAATTCTGCAAAATATTATTATTTACTCAAGATAGAATAGATAATTGAATGAGAAATCATAAATAAAAGAAATGAGTTGAACAAATAGGATTAGAATATATATATCGAATAAAAGATCGACGAAAGATACTTTCTTCATGTCTTAAAATCGTGAATTGATCAATTCATATCACTGTTTTTTTTTTTGGATTCCATATTTTGAATTAAATTCACCATTAGAGGTGAATATTTGAATTTTTAGATCTCTAAACTAACTATTTTTAACTACATTCTATTTTTTTTTGTGTTTTATCTTCTAATAATCTTCAAATTTATTATCAATTTGTTTCGTTCGTTTCTTTTTATCATTATTATTGTTTTAGATTCAATATTCTACGTCAAACATGAATTTATTCTCGTATATTTTTTATATTATTGAATATCATATTTATTATTAATGTTCATTAAATAGAAAAAATAAAAATAAAAATAAAAAATAGCGAGACAATTTTCTTCTCTTCACATATTATCTCAAATATTGAAAAACGACGATAAAAACCTTTTATATAAAATGACATGCAATCGTAATTGAATAATCGACCAAGAACAAACTATTAAGTAATATTTTCATTGAGTTTGTATAATAGAAATATGTGAAATCTTGAAATATTTTTCCCTCTATCTGTATAAAAAAAAAGAAAAGAAATTATTCATTTGATTTTGGAAATAGAATGTTCAATGACAAGTTTTTATTAAGCTAGATATGAAAATGCATCTTGATACACTAAATTAAGAATAGATAATTTTTCTTTTTGTCATTCTTCACTTCCTTCCCTTCTTTTTTTCTTCTCTTTCTCTCTCTCTCTCTCTAATCTTACATTAATTAATTTCATAAAAACAAATAGATTTCGGAACAAAAAAAGAAAAAGTTTCTTTTTCATATTGAAGCGCGCACTCATTCATTTAACATGTCCAACTATTTAATATTTGATTATGTGTTTGTTCGTCATAGAAAATGTGTCAAAAGAAAATGTACAAGAAAAAAAAAAAAAAAAAGAAAAGAGATTGTCTATTGGGAACTATCTTGTAAAGATTGTTTTTTTGTTTTCTCAAGAAATCAACTAAAAGACATAGATCTTTTCTCTCTAGATACTGAATAAAAAAGGGACGTATAACGGCAATGTTGATTCTTTCTAGTTATACATTCTTCTTTTTTCTTCTTCTTCTTTACATGGAATCGAGCTTTCAACATGAGCCTACTACTGACGACTGATCTATTGTATTAGACATAAGAAAATTTCATGTTATCAGTTCTAATCTTGCATAGAGAATCAACTTGTACATATTTCTTCTATAGATTCGTTATTTTTTTTTAAATGGAATCCGATTTTATCATTAAATAGCTAGACGTTTTTTGTTGTTTTTTTCTTCTTCTTCTAATAGTCTAATAACACGGTCCATTTTTGTAATTATCAATTTTCTGATACGGATGTTTTATTCCTTAATGAACAGTTGTTATCTACTTTTTACCATATGATACCATATGTATATTGTAAATTATATTTAGAGCAGAAAATTAAATCAATTATTGTCATCTTAATTTTCAGAAAAAAATTTATTTAATATATTCAATTCAAAGATCATCAGATTGTTCATTTATATTTTTATGGTTAAGTTGGAACAAACAATTCGATTTTATGTCTAGTGAGTGTTCTTCTTGTCTTATTATCACGTACTCTTCTAACAGGTTAAATGATTGAAAACCAAAAAAAAAAAGATGAGATTAAGTAAATTTAGTTAAGATCAAATTTCATGAGATGAAAACATGCGTAAAAACTAACTCTATCATTTCTTTTTTCAACATATTCTTTCTATCTAATATCTTTTCAAATTTTGTTGTTTGTTTGTTTGTTTTCCTCCTTTATCTTTATCATCCAATATAGATCAGTGATTTCTTTAGAAAAATATATCTTTCTAATATTTTTTCCTAATCACTATGATACAATATATTCAAGTCTTTTGAGAGTTCAATCTATACATTATACAATTATTCATATTAACTCAAGAATGTGTCTAAAATAGTTTAATGTATAGACTAGACAACATCTGCAAAAAACCTTAATTTTAGATTTTGTTTTATTTCTCCGTAAAAATACTATTGATTTTAAGATAAAGTGATTGATTCACCGTTAATCATGTTTAATACACATTTGTTTGTATTTGTGTACACATATCTAATTCGATTAACAGAAACAATTCTATGATACCATTTAGATACATATTAATGTGAACTTTTGACGTAATCAGCTGTACATATTATTTATTAATGCAAAGACAAGAAGAAAAAAAAAAAACTGTTTTTTTTTTTTGTTTTTTTTTTTTTTCTTCATCCGTTTTGTTTTTCTTTTGGTAAAAAGAGAAAAATGAATATATATATGCATATTTCCAGATCTAGGAGAGAAAAAGTGATGTGCAATTACTCTTTCTTCTTTCTTTTTTGCTTTTTTGTTATAAAGAAAAAGAAAAAAAAGAAAGAAGAAGAAGAAAAAAAAAAATCTTATGCTTGCGTTCTTGAAATGCCAATTTTTAATCAAAAACATTCGTAGTACTACCTCCCCTAAAATGATTGTTTTCTCTTATTCTATTCTTTTGTTCTTTCTTACTTGTTTAATCGTACGACCTTACGTCGGGGTTTCTATTTGGTGTCGATAGCATTACATGTATATTTAGACTATTATCGTGGTACCATTATATTGCGAACAAGAATAAGGAGAAGAAGAAGAAAAAAAAATAGAAAATTGTCTATTTCTCCTTTTGTTCTGTTTTTTTCTTCTTCTACTTCTTCTGATTAATAAACTCATTTGAAGTGGTCATTGTCCAATATAACAATACAAAATATTGTTAAAAATAGATACTTTTATTACCCATATGTTAATTGAGTTCAGTAAACGTTTATTACTTTTGAATGGTATGTAATTTCGATAGCGTCATCATCAGACATACAGATTAGGTCTGTGTATCTTCTACTTTTTTTTTTTTTTTTTTTTTTATTAGCATTAGACCCCAAATAGTTAGAAAAGAAGTAATGGAAAATAAATTATGTTTATTGATATCATATGGCGGTTTGTTGTGTTTATGAGTTAGCCTTGCACTAGAATAAGATAACGTTTTGTTGTTTTTTTTCTATGCAAAGAAGTAAGAAGATTTTGATTTTTCTGTCTATGGTTTATTAACTTCAACTTCTCTTTTTTTTTTCTTGAAGAAGACAAAAGAGAGAATTTAGAGGACATAATAATGAAATATAACATTAATACTTATTGTTATCTTTATTTACATGAAGAAAAATTTTTTTCTTTTGTTTTGTCTTCATCTCGCATTAGATCTCTTAGTTAAAGTCAAGTATTAATTCATAAATAAAATTGTTTTCTTATTTGTTTGTTATTGATCTCAAATTTTACACAGTAAAATTTAGAGAACATCAACTTGATAATTACAATTATATTTTCATACATTTAATATGAGTGTAATAATAAGAGAGTTAGTATACACACTAAAATGGAAGACGATACTCACAAACAGATAATACCCTCAGTATATTTCTTATATTAGTATTAACATCGAGAAAACAATTAAATACCAGTTATGGGTAATATGTTAATTTATCATTCGTCAATTTTTTATTACTCTTAAAAACTCTGTTTTCTCTATTTCTCTCTCACTGTCTGTCTACTAGACATACAATTGTTTTGTAGAAAAAATTCCATATGGCAGTTAACATATGATCTAATAGCCTAAGTTATCTACTAATAGAAATCTATATTGTATCGGTCAGAATAAATAATTTTATTGTAAAAGTTTACTTTAGAGAGAGACAATTTTCAAAAAAATTCTATTGAATTGAAATATTTCTTAATCAAAAAAAACAAAACTTTGTAAATATATCAGTTTTTTTAGATCAAGTCATTTGTGATAAAATAAGATATTATGCAATTCAGAATGATGTGTCAATTAAAAGTTATAATCCATAAAATATGCGCAATAAAAATGATCTTTTCTTGAAGTGCTTTTTATATTAACATCATATAACAAATTTTTCCATAACAACGCGCAAAGTGGAATCAAAACACATAATAATAACGGAATCGTGTTCTATTTGTTTTACCTTAGTTTTCATTTTATTTTAGAAATAAGAATTTTTGACAAAAAGTTCAAAGAATATTTTAAGATAAAATACTTGTCATTAGCTTTTATACTAAAAATTAAAATAAATTCGAGATCTTATTGATGATGTGAGAATTTGTTTAGACGTCGCCTTGAAAACAACATTGCCATTATTTCTTGAAATTGATTTATAATATCTGAAAGTTTGGATCAAGATTGAAAATAATGAAATTAGAATAAGTTTAATTTCTGAGAGTCTTAGTTGATTCTTACTGTTTTACTATTAGATTTTAATTTTTACTTCTAAATCTATCGAAGGTTATCTTAGATAATACAAATAGAACTGTTGGAAGGAAGATAACACATTAAACTGATAAGAAAACGAATAGTATCATGCGAATAGTTTAATGTAATAGACTATGAGAAAAATACATTAGTCTATCATTTCTGTTTAATATATGAAAATAAAATAGATATCTCATCATGATAATGTGAGAGAGAGAGAGAGAGAGCAGAGGAAAATTAGACAAGAGATAACGGTATTTGATAATGGATCGTGCTAATTTATAAAAGCAACAAGTGATATCGTGATGTGACAACTATCCTCAACGCTGATGACTGTAAATAAAAAAACGTTCAGAACTTTTTTTTTGCTTCTCAGCTAAGATGTTGATTATGACCAATATTTTTAACTGTTCCAGAACTATAACAAGAACATGTAGACATTTTCATGTTAAATATCAAACAAGGTTTTCTTTGGAAAAAAAAAGATTTATCGTATGAAAGTCTCAGCAAAAATGTGTCATTCTTTTTCTAGAAAATTGACAATATTCTTTCTTTTTTAGTTGATTGATGGAGTCAACATCAAGTTTTTTAAAAATTGGTGATACAGTAGCACTATATGCCGAAGGAACTGTGTGTGGTTTTATCAGCACATTAGGGTAGATAATTGTCATATTATTCGTGAAGCAACACGTTAAAATTAATTTTCTTCTTTTATCTAGACTTGTTGATGATCGTTGTGTTGTACAACCAGATGCCGGTGATTTACAAAAACCCCCAAAAAAATTTCGAGGTTAGTAAACATTATTGACATTTGTAATAGTATTCACACGATTTTTCATCTTTGTTTAGATTGTTTATTTCGAATATGTCCTAGTCATCGTTACAGTGCTCAAGCACAATTTTGGAATGCTTTAAAAAGTCCAAATGGTGTGAGAGATTTGAAAAAATTGCAGGTAAGAACAGTCTTTTTTATACAACAGATCATATTATAGAGTAGCGGACATCAATGATTATTCCAGTTCACTTGTTTGTTCATGTTACTTATTTGTTTTCATTCTAAAATTTTGTTTCTTTTCTTTTCACAGTTAGCTGCAGATACGGAAAAACGTCAAAATGAAGAAGAAAGTCGAAAACAAACAGGAACAGTGATTAAATATGGCGATACAGTTGTTCAGGTAGGAAAATTTACTTTTCTCTACTCTTTTCTCCATATCTATAAATATCTGTTTTGATTTGTTGTTATTTTTTTATAGTTATTACATATCAAAAGTAATAAATATTTAACTGTTAATAAACGTTTACCGGCATTTTTGGAAAAAAACGCCATGCGTGTATCATTAGATCCAAGTGGTACAGAAGGTTCTTGGTTTCAAATTGAACCATATTACAAATTAAGAGCAAAAGGAGAAAGAGTAAATTAATAAAATATTGAAATAAATTTTAGAGATTTATTTATTCTTTTTTTTTATTCTTTATAATATTTAGGTTGTTGTTGGTGATAAAGTTGTCTTAATGCCTTATAGTGGAGGTCAACCATTACATGTTAGCGAATTAGAACTACCTGATCATCCCGGTTCAAAAGAAGTAAGTGTCACTTTCACATTCTTTCTTCTTCTATTACTAGTCGTCGTTCTTTCTTATTTTGATGGCAATTTTATTATTTTATCATTCATTCACAGCAAAAAAAAAAAAAATATATGCAAAGCTCACTGGATTTAGCTATACTTCCTAATCTTCCTATCTGACTGCATGGCGATAGGAAATCGAATAAGACATTGTTTTTGTATATCTGTGGAAAAGTAACCACAGTATACATGAACTCTTCTTTATTTACAAGATAATATTTTTGTGTACAATTGATTTTTAGTGCTGCAGTGTTATTAACCTTCACACGGTACAAACAGAGTAGTAGAAAAAAGAACAAGAGTTCTTTATTTCTTTTCTTTTTTTTGTGTGCTGTGATTTCATCCCACATCTAAAATTAATCATTAATTGTGTTTTCTTTTTTTTTGCAGTGATAGAAAAGAATAGCAAAGAAGGAAGGAGCAACTTGCATGAGGTTGTCTTTTTATTCCGGATGCATGAAAACAGATGTTGATAATTTTCCAATTATGCATATATCCATGCACAAAAATGTCTATGTCTAAAATTAAGCAATTGAATCTTAGAACAAATCTCTATATATTTTAACTACTAAAGTGGGTGTGCAATGTTACATTTCATCAAAACTAATTCGATAGTTAACAGTAACAGCTTTTAAGGATATACTATTTTGTCAGACACTATGTCCCAGTTGTAACTTCATTTATTGAAAACAAGGTCATTATTATATTCTGCCTTAAAGGTGTATAGGAAAAATAGAATAATTTATGATATACTAGTAAAACTTTTTATATTCATTTTACTTTTAGATCAATTGTCATTCGTATTCTGTAGTATGTGTAAAATAATGATAATTTTTCACTGGCGACAATATAATTACTAGATTTAACCGTTGTTTTAGTCTTTCTCTCTCTTTTTGTCTGTAATATGTTTCATAGTGGTGTTTTTACTTACACACGCACACATACCTCTATCCCATCTTTAATGTCTATACTCACCTAGAGAATTTCATGAACAATACTTTGAGAGATTTTTCTCTTGTGTGAAAAAACCAGTAGGATAATTTATGCATTTTATAAGTTTCTAGTATTATAGTTTGTTATAAGAGTGTGTCTACGAGTTAATTAGGAAACGCTGTCACACGCTAAAATTTTAATCCCCTCTTTTGATGATCTCATTCGCTTTTTCACACAAAAATGATGAAAATTTCAAATATTTTATTTAACTTTCAAATTTAAAACTGAGCGAACTTTCAAATTTTTACAAAAAAAAACTACTAAATTTCCGAGGAGCAAACGATATTGTTCACCATAGTATTGTGTTAGACTCTTTCTATGATTCTGGTAGAGTCGAAAACATCAATTATACTCATCAAGTCATAAATATATTGAGGTCTGACAACGAAAAATACGTTTCCTTGAAAATCTGAAAACTCGACCATTTTAGTGTATGACAGCATTTCGTAATTAACTCGTGATACTCTCTTAATGCTTTTAGTTTTTTTTGCGCATTCACACATGTCATATGTGTGTGTTTTTTAAAGCTTCACATACACCATAGCTATTTTATATATGACGCAGAGACACTATAGAATTTGTGTTTCTGAAGAATCGCTACTTCTTCGCGGAGAAATATAAAATGATCTGTGAGTCTCGTCAAAAATTATCTGAGATAAGCCCAGAATTTTTAATTTTCAGCTGACACAAGTGAGTTAATATTTCCACAGTTAAAACGTTGACGTCGAAAAGTGTTTGAATCTTCGAGAATATATCAAACATTATATTAAGAATATCCCTAGTGGTATTTCCGTTCCATTTTTGCTGAGATCTGATCACGAACATGATTTTTTCCTGATCTTAGCAAAATAAAATCGTAATCTTATAATTTTAATCGCGTTCTTGATCAATTTTCGTTACACGTGAAAAATAGCAAGATTCGGTACGATTGTAGTAGCGATCTCGCGTTAAGTCTCAAATTTCTTGTCAAAATCACGGCACGATGAATTTGTATTCTTGCAGCGAAATGAAGCGGAAATACTAGTAGGGTAAGACGTCATTAAACGTTTGACAACATGGTAACGGTACAGCACATAATTGTGTAACAAATTCAATTTGAAGAAACAACTTAGATTTCTCATGTCTCCTACATCTGCAATTTTAATAAGTGAGGTAGTCTCTTTTGACTAACTAAAAACTAGAAGTTCTAAGCTTATCTCCGATAATTTCATACATTTCTCGACGAAATTCACAAACATTTTCGTACTTTCTTCGCGGAGAATAGAAATTCTATAGAATCACATATTCGATATTGTCTCCACAACATATACACACATAATTAATCGGTGTAGTGATAGATTATGTAATCTTATGAAAAATTCTTATATAATTAACATTTTCGCTTATAGTTCTACTAGCTTATTCCCTTTTTGATAGTGACGACATAAATAATTGTTATTGTGGATCATTAAAATTTTAGACTTGATCAATCACAGTGTATCGAAACTGTGGTTGATCATCATTACAGTTTCACAAATATTAATAATAAGAAATGCTTTTTTCTCGACTATTACATCTGATACATATTATTAATATTCTGTCTATAATTTTTAAATATGCAAAAAACTATTTGATAAAAAATTGATCGTTTGATAAAAATTTTGTTTCGCAGAAAGTAGCTGGCGAAATAAAGTTTTCGAAATTTTTGTCAGAAAGTTGCTGGTGGGAAAACGTCAAAGATTTTGTCAGAAAGTCCAAAAAATTGTTTAGGGGGGCCAGCACCCCACTTCCCCCTGATCGGAAACCCTGTTCAAGGTCGTTTGACTTTCCGAAATTTTAATCTGATTAACATATCAACAGATTAATTGTTCTATTCTCTTCCCTACCTGCGCATGTTATAAGAATTTGCGTTTTATTATTTGACAATTATTGTTTGTGTGAAAGAGGAATAGGCTAATTTATACATAGAAGCATGATGAAATATAAAAATTTCAATTCCATATTATATGAATGATATTTATATGCGTTTATAAATTTATTTCGTTTAATTTTAGGTCAATTCTCATTTACAAACAAGTTGGAAAATTGTCTTGTTTATGTCATGTCATGAAGGCAATAATGAAGTATTAAAAAGTGTAAGTTAATAAAATTAATATTTTTATGATATATTTCTTATTAAAACTTTTGTAATGTATATTTTGTTTTCTTATAGGGTGATATTGTTCGCTTATTTCATGCTGAACAAGAAAAATTTTTAACCTGTGATAATTATAAAAAGAAATCAGTTGTTTTTCTTCGTGCAACGGGTCGTGCATCAGCTACATCAGCAACATCATCAAATGCTTTGTGGGAAGTTGAAGTTGTACAACAAGATCCATGTCGAGGTGGAATTGGTCATTGGTCATCATTATTTCGTTTTAAACATTTGGCTACTGGACAATATTTAGCTGCCGAAGTTGATAATGATCAAACATTTGATGCAACACGACAAAAATTGCGTGGACCACCAGGAATGCCTGTATTTGCTCTTGTACCCATTCCACATGGTTACGATATTTCTTCAATATTTGAATTAGATCCAACAACGATTACTCGTAATGAAGAAGCTGTTCCATTAGGTTCTTATGTTAGATTGCAACATATATGCACAAGTACTTGGGTACATAGTATTCTCTTCCCTACCTGCGCATGTTATAAGAATTTGCGTTTTATTATTTGACAATTATTGTTTGTGTGAAAGAGGAATAGGCTAATTTATACATAGAAGCATGATGAAATATAAAAATTTCAATTCCATATTATATGAATGATATTTATATGCGTTTATAAATTTATTTCGTTTAATTTTAGGTCAATTCTCATTTACAAACAAGTTGGAAAATTGTCTTGTTTATGTCATGTCATGAAGGCAATAATGAAGTATTAAAAAGTGTAAGTTAATAAAATTAATATTTTTATGATATATTTCTTATTAAAACTTTTGTAATGTATATTTTGTTTTCTTATAGGGTGATATTGTTCGCTTATTTCATGCTGAACAAGAAAAATTTTTAACCTGTGATAATTATAAAAAGAAATCAGTTGTTTTTCTTCGTGCAACGGGTCGTGCATCAGCTACATCAGCAACATCATCAAATGCTTTGTGGGAAGTTGAAGTTGTACAACAAGATCCATGTCGAGGTGGAATTGGTCATTGGTCATCATTATTTCGTTTTAAACATTTGGCTACTGGACAATATTTAGCTGCCGAAGTTGATAATGATCAAACATTTGATGCAACACGACAAAAATTGCGTGGACCACCAGGAATGCCTGTATTTGCTCTTGTACCCATTCCACATGGTTACGATATTTCTTCAATATTTGAATTAGATCCAACAACGATTACTCGTAATGAAGAAGCTGTTCCATTAGGTTCTTATGTTAGATTGCAACATATATGCACAAGTACTTGGGTACATAGTACAAATATTAAATTAGATCCAGATGATGATAATGTCAGATTTAAGGTAAAAATTATTTTAAATAATGAATAAGAAAATAGATGTATAATTTTATCTTTTCTTTTTTTTGTTAACTTATTTTAGATTGGCTGTGCTCAAACAAAAGAGGATAAAGAAGCATTCCAAATCGTACATGTTTCACCTGACGAAGTGAGAGATCTTGATTTTGCTAATGATGCTGCACAACATTTTGATATGACAGTATCTAAATGGGAAAAATTAGGAACAACCAATGTACATGTCAATGAGAGAAAGTATGTATAAAAAAAAATACTCTAATTTTAATTTTAGAGTATTCATAATTTTTACTAATAGTGTTTAATATATTCACAATTAATTCATAATATATATTAATATATTAATTTCTATTTTTTTAGACAAGTGAATCAATTATTAACGGATATTGTTTATTTTTTGGCTTGTCAAGAAAATAATGGAAGTGATCCATTCGATGTACAAATAACAAAACCAAATCGAGAACGACAAAAATTAATTCGTGAACAAAATATTCTAAAACAGGTAAAATTATTTCTATATTTCTCTATGATTTACATATGAAATACTTTTTTTTCGTTTTTTAATTTAGTTATTTCGTATATTAAAAGTATTAAAACCTCGACTCGAATTTGAACGTAGTCAAAAGAGTGATGGAAAAGTTGATAGTTTACCGGTATCTCTATCTCAGCAACAATTACAACAACAGCACTCACAAACGAAAGATGAACAACAGCAACAACAACAACAACAACAGCAACAATTAGTTCAACAATTAGTTTCACAACAAGATGCCGATGTTCGATATTCGACAACATTCTATCAAATGAAAACAATTTGTAGACTGTGTTACAGAATACTAAAACATTGTCAACAAGAATATAGAAAAAATCAAGTAAGAAAAATAACGTTATAACTTTATTAAAAGTCACAAGTGAAGTGATCTCGATAAGAAATTATGTAGAATATTATTGAAAATAGAGAAAATATCACTGTCCATTTCCTTTATCAAGTAAATGATAAATAATTTATTGACTTTTTTCTCAGAGAAGAATAATAGATAAGAAATGTAAATGATAATTGAAACTTTCTTCTTACAGAGTGGCACATAACCTTTGCCTTCCTCCCTCTAGAACCTAAAGAACAGATAATACCACAATGTGTTCATACCAAATTAAAGCGCGTCAAAAACTGGATTTATTGGCACGAAATAGTAAAGGTTATGAAGACGTTTTCATGTCGCATTTAAGAAATTTTC